GAGTTTAAGAAGTCAGAGAGTTAATACTAGAAACTCTCTTTTTCCTTCTGGCTACCCCGTGCTTGGCTAGAGGCCACCTATTTCTTTTTCTTTACTAATTCACATCCAGGAGAGAGCCATTACTCAGCGAGTGTGCCCACCTGTGTTTATCTTGAGGCAGCCCAGATTTTCTAGAACCAAACCTAAGACTGTAAGGCATCTGCCTCAGTGTTTATTTTCCTCTCTACTTCTTCATACCCGTATTTCCAAGTGAAAACAGGCTGTTCAGTGCACAGGAAGAACACTTGCCTGGTACACCTGGCAGCCCCTTGACCTGAAGATTTAATTGCTCAGTGGCGGTGTATTGTCGAGCTGATAAGCAGTGGCTGATTGACATAGTTGACAGAAGCCAGCTAGCATTTGTGAAGAGTCTTCCACGTGCCCTGCTTGTGATGTACACCTTTAGTCCTTCACTGGTTTGTGACATCGCTGCTTATAACGCCATCTGATATTGGGAGGCCCAGAGTTCAGACACGCCAGGCTACCAGTCATGGAGGAGCTAGACCTACGGGGCGGGGGGAGGGGGGAGATTTCATCCGTAGACCTCTTGTTTCGCATGGGGGCGGAGGTAACCCGGATGGTCTGTCCACCCCTGCTTTCAATCTTGGCTACAGATGAGTTCTGTGTTCTAGGCAAATATCTTGACCTCCCTGAGTCAAAGGAAATTTCCTCCTCTGTCTAAAGGGAGGGTTTTAGGTCGTTAGTGCTAAAGTGGACGACTGGACATCACTGCTCACAGTTGAGGGGTTGGCAAGCCTGAGACAGGGCCAGCAGATTCATTGTCTAATGAGAGCTCTGTGCCTGGCTCATGGTGTCACCTTCTCATGTGTCCCCACTTCATAGAAGGGCAAAAATGTTCTCCTAGTCCATTTCTGTAAGGGCACCGGTCCTTTTGAAAGGGGTCTGCTCTCCTGACCCGATTGTCGTCTCCCACATGTCCTCCTTCCCAAGAGTACCACATGGGGGCTTTGGTTTCAGCGTGTGAATCTGGAGGATACCCAACATTCTGACTATGGTGTAAGGCAACACCTCCCAGTGTTGAGGTGATTTAAGGAACCATCCGCGTGGGGCATTTGCAAGCACCTTCCACTCAAAGTGAAATGGCACACAGCTACCAGGTCACTGCAGCTCTTGTAGAGTCAGGGTTCTCTGTGTTAGGGAGCCAGGGAGCCAGAACTGGGGTGGGTGCTGCAGGGGTAGTAGCAGAAGCAGTGGGTGGTGGGGTGGGTGGAAGGCTGTGGACAACGGGCCTGGAGTGCACCTGCTCCCTGCCCAGCAGGAGGCCTTCCTGGGAGAGAGGAGACTGCAAGGCCAGTGTTAGCCTGAGCTCTACAGGAAGCTCAGGGGATTCATCTCTCTCAAGTCTGTTTCAGAAAAGTCCAAGGCTAGGAGGGGCCAGGGACTGCCAGGATTCCAGGAGACAGAGGGGGCCTTTGTCAGGGTTGGAGCAGAGGACAGAGTGAAATTTAGTACGTTTCTAAGATACGGAGCCTGAGGGATGGACACTATGGCTGCCTTTCCACCTGGCAGCACAAGGACCGGTCCTCCTTCCTCCCTTACTTCTCGCCATGACTGTTTTGATCTCGCAGGGCTTGGTTGTCACTTCTCCATCCCGATGGTAAGATGTTACTCCTGGACATCCCACCTGGCACTTACCCTACTTGTGAAATAGAAGTGGAGGTCCTTAACCGTGACAGAAGATTTCCTACCTCACCTGTGCTTAGTTTGTAATGCTAAGGTCCCAGACAAACCAATGGCTTCTGGGCCTCTTTTCTCATGAACTCAAAGAGTGAAGTTCACAAACAACGGGAAGATGAGCTTAGAAAGCAGTGTTAGAATAGGGTTTTAGGTGGGAACTTAAGAGAAAGAAGGAAGGCAGAACTCCTGAATAGCAGGAGAGGGTCCCAGAAAATGGGCTACCATCAAGCTGCTAGGCTGAGGGCTTCTTGTAGAATTTAGAAAAGGCATGTGGAGGAAAGCTAGTCAGTCCAGTTGGCCTAAATGACAAGTCTAGGTGCTTCGTAGTTTCGGTTATGCCTTCATGTGTAGTTTCTAGGCAATAGGGCTCTTTCCAGTTGTGTTAAAGCTGAAGAAAACTAATAAGAAACCAGACTAGGAAACATAGACCCCTTCTGGTATTTGTGCCCTTGAGCCAGGACAAGACCTTGCTGGCATATAACCAAGGACAAGAACGGTGGTTCCTCTCCCTAAACTGCCTGCCAGTTTTGATATCCTGCTCTCATCGGAGGAGATGACTCTTGGTTATGGGGTGGGTAGGATGTTAATGGTTCATCACTGAGCATCTTCACTTCCAGAAGATGGAATCAGCAGGGAAGGGGTTGGCGTGTGGATGAGTATGGAAGGGAGAGCCAAGTCCAGTGAAGAAGGGGAAAGAATGACAGACTCCCAGAGAAGGAAGTGTGGATGCCTTTCCTGGGGGTATTTGTTTGTGAATAGCTTTATCAAATTCTCTCTGCGGAGAGTACAGAAAGTGATGTGGCAAGAAGTCACCAGAGAATTTTTTTTTTTTTTAAGATTTATTTATTTATTATGTATACAGCATTCTGTCTGCATGGATGTCTGCACACCAGAAGAGGGCACCAGATCTCACCACAGATGGTCGTGAGCCACCATATGGTTGCCGGGAATTGAACTCAGGACCTATTGGAAGAGCAGCCAGTGCTCCCAACCTCTGAGCCATCTCTCCAGCCCCAAAGAATTTTTAAACAGAGCGAGCAACCTGCTGACTTAAAAAAAAAAAAAAGAAAAGAAAATTAAATTCCACCCAGCCCATCAGATCAGTTGCCAGAAATTAAGAGCTGAGTGTATATATTTGAGTTTGGATCAAGATTGATTCATTAGCTGATTGAGTCTTCCTAAAATATCAGGAAAACGATCGACAGGGAAAGTGTCCGTCCTTTGACTGTTGCTTCTAGCTTCATAGTTTTCTCTTGTGGGGAGTGGTTAAAGGCGCTTTCATTTTAAGGGTAATCTGGGCAGGTTTGGGGAAGCACACACCTTGAGTTTTCATAGAGTAAGCCCCGCAATGCTCGCTGCCAAGGAGTTCTAATGGATAAAAGGATGCTGGTCAAGTGGGTATTTTATTCAGTGTTCTCCACGAGTCAGAGTCAGCCTGACAGGGTCCTGGTTGTCTTGTAGTTGGGGGCAAAATTTACCAGTTCTCTTGAGGAATCTTTTGGGCTGCAGTAGTTCATTTGAGAGAGAGAGAGAGAGTGAGAGAGAGAGAGAGAGAGAGAGAGAGAGCGCCAGCCAAATGAAATTAGTCACTGCACAGGTCTTAACCTAAGTGTTCTTTTACTGTTGCTGTGGAAACCAGAAAGAAAAAGCATGGGTCGAGAAAGAAAAATAATCAGTGTTAAGCATCAGTAAAATACATTGGCAGTAAGCTGCTTTTTTTTTTTAATACTGAATTTTTAAGAAATCACAAGACCTGGAACCAAGCTGAGACTAAGAAGTTCTGAGCGGATCATGCAACTGAAATCATATATCATCTTCAGGAAAAAAATTACCAAAAGCAAATAATATTCCTTTTTTTTTCTTTTACCAATAATGAATTCAGGTGCATGCATGTGTGTGTGTCAGGGATAGAACCCAGGGCCTGGTTCATGTTATAGACATACAGTTTCATTGTTAGCCACATCTATGCAGCTGTAGAGAGAACCAGCTACATAGGACACTTATCTCTATGTAATCACTTTGCTTAAACAGGAAGAGGAACCGGGTGACTCTTGGAGAGACAGATACTGTCTGCTGAGATAGTTTCTTCTGGTCAGGGAAGGGACAGGAGCATGAGGTGATGGCCGCCTGAGCTGGGCTGCAGACGTCCTACAATGCAGTGAGGCCGAGGAGACCGTCCACTCTAGTACCAGCTACCACCCCTTAAGGTTAACCAGAGCCTTATACCCCATGGAAGTGGCTTCCAGAATTGCTTGTCCTCTGTGGGTGTTATTTGAAAGCATAGACACTGTGGCTTGGTACCTTGTGTCATACCAGAGTCCACGGGGACAGACAGAGGCAAGGTGGTTGTAGAAAGATACCAGGACTTCTATCTATCCTGGAGATGCTGTTGATGGCGAGGCTGGGGGTTGGAGGATGCAAGGGATCATGAATGACAGTTGATGACTTTACCTGGACTGCTGGCACTTCTGTCTTCTTTCCCCTGGGACAGGGTCTCTCTATATATCTCTGGCTGTCCTGGAAATCATTATATAGACCAGGCAGGTCTTGAACTCACAGAGACCCATCTGCCTTTGCTTCCAGAGTACTGGGATTAAAGATGTGCATAGCTTAGCCTTGCAGTCTGATACTTTGAACAATATTTTTTTTCATTCCATAAATTATTTAACTAGGGAAATAATCCTGCATGTCAAGTCTGATCAATTAAAATATGCCTTATTAATTTTTAAAAATGGTATCCATTTTTATCTAAAAGAAGTCATATGTGTTTCTGCGAACTCTTTAACTCTGAAATAATTCATTTATATGTGTTTAAAAATTAAGGAGACTGTTTTGATAGTTCTAAGGCTGCAAAGCTTGGGGACATATTATATCTTGATGCCAGTCACCATAGTGTGTGTGTGTGTGTGTGTGTGCGTGCATGCGTGCGAAGGCATGTGTGTACTTACAGATGTGTATTGAGATACGTAGCTGTTAGGTGTCTGTAACAAGAACAAGGTATCATTTGCTGAAAAGCAATAGCAGAATATCAATTGCATCACATATACGTGTTAATAAACTGGCAAGCACCCGTTCAGAGGTATAAAAATGAGCAGCGTGCAACAGCAGCGTCTTCGGTGCACGGTATTCTTCTATACCTGGCTAAATCCTAACACTCGTTCTGTGGTAGCAATGGTAAGCCTGGTGAAGGGAGTTTGTAAAGCCTTATGTCACTCACAAGTAGCGTCTTGGAGACGAGTGTTTTCCTTTTTACCTTTCTACAGAGAGAAGACCTCCCCAAGACATCATGCGGAGTGCCACCAAGCCCTGGAGTCCAGTTGCCAAAGCAGGCAGCCATGGCCCTGATCGCACACGGCCCCTCCCTGGGACCCCTTCTGGCATGAAGAGTTCCAAGTCTTCAACCTCGCTGGCTTTCGAGTCTCGGCTTAGTAAGGTACAGACTTTCAGGGCAGGTCTGTGAGAATGCTCAGTGTCCTGTGTGTCAGTAGCAAACCCCAGCAGCACCTGAGGGGATGGAGTGAATGGGGGACAGTGGAGTGCTCCAGGATGGGGAAAGAGATGTGTGAGCTGTTTAAAGACTCAGCGAAAACTGGGGAGGGGGGCTTTTTGTACATGTGAATCATAGAATATGTAAATTTCCCATTCTGCCCCATCAGCTCCACATCCAATCGTGGTGACGTCTGAAATGCATCCTCTTTTTTCTAACACACACCCAGATTGCGGGACGGTCCTTGTTGAGAGCCATTTTCCAGGGGACAGCGTCTGTTCTGTGAATGGTATCGAGATTTCTATTGCTAATCAGGAACCTTCTCACTGCCTTGAGGGTCGAGATGCCACCCCCACTGTACTGTGTCCTAGCCAAATTCAACCCCTGCCTCCATCACCTCCTAATCTGCTCCTCTCTGAGCTACCCTTTGTAGAGTGGATGGTTCCTCTTTCCTTTAGGTTGTTTAGACCTGAGTCCTTGAAAGCTCCTTCGTTCATGTCCCCACAATGCATCAGTAAGAAGCCATTCCTTCTGCCTGGAGAATAGATTTCACCTGAATCCTCTTACTGTGGCCTCTCCCCACGTGCCATCCTTCCCTATCTGGCTCCCCCCACCCCACAGCTTTCATTTTGGTACTCCACATTCTTTTCCCAACAGATGCTGGAGGAGTCCCTTTAGCGTATGTGACATGCCACTTCTCTGCTGAACGCCCACTCGAGTTCTTTCTGTTGGATAGAGTGAGAAGCAAAGCTCTCCTAGTGACCAGAGAGGCTGTCCACCCCCATCTCCTGCTGGACACTGTCATTCTCCTCTGTACCTGTAACAATTGTCCCTTGGACATGCCAGGCACACTTCTGTATTTGTATTGCCTCCTGTCTCTGCCTGGAGGGCATCACGTCAGAGGCGGCTCTTGAATACCCTGTGTGCCGTGCTCCTTGACTGCGTCCACGCTCCACTCCCTCCTCAGCATCCCCTGCAGCTCCTACTCCACCGCACCTCTGGATGTTGAGCACCTGTCTCCCTTAGGCTGGCCGTGCGCTCCAGGAGGGCAGGACTGCGTGCTTCTGTCGACCACAGCGCTGCTTAGGAAAGCCTGTGCTGCCTGCTAAGCCCTTAGTGTGTAGGAAATGCGATGGCCCTCTGTTCTTCTGGGAGAGTCAGCCTGGTGGCTTAGGTGGGCCTTTAGGGCAGTGAGATCACTCTAAAGCAGACTGAGCCACTTGGCGTCTGTGAACTCCCAGGCGGGTGTTGGAACCACCTGCCTTAGACTTGTGCTTTTCAACAGCGAAGGGCATTGCTTCAGAAGCTTCTTCCACAGAGAAGTGTCAAGGGAAAGCAAGTAGTTTTGTGGCAGGCTTCCTGCTCTCCATTCTGATCCATGAGCTTTCTTGTCCTGATATTATGAAACGGACACCAGGATCTGGGAAGAGTTGTAGGAGGACCTGAACTGTGCCCGCCCCTTGCCAGCCCTGTCCTTTCCAGCCGACGGTGGGCTTTAGATCACTGAAAGCCCAGAGAGCAGAAGAGAGGAGGTAGAGGCGATGATCAGAAAAGCAAGTAGATTTCCCTCCCCAGTGGAAACTTCTAAGCGGATAGGACAGTTGGGATCTGTAGCAAATGTCCCAGAGCATTGCCTGCACTTGTCGACTTTGTAATGCCTGTCTAGAGTAAATGGATGAGGATGTCTTAACTATTCACAAATAGGAAACCGAATCAAACCCACCCGCAATAGAACCGAATCCCTAATTTCAAATGATGGCTGAGCTGCAGGGGCTGAAAGCACAAGGCAGGAGATGCAGGAAGAACGGGGGGCAGGGATGCTGCTGCAAACCCTCTTTGTGGTGTTCAGGCAGCAGCACACACGCTCTGACTTCAGCAGGCCACATCACTCCAGCCACAACAGAAGGTCCGAGGCTATGAGTCAGAGCTTACTTGGTCGCAGCCGACAAAACATTGGTTTGAGTTTGTATGAACAGAAAAAAAATCCAAGTTGTGTCTCACCGTCCAGGCTTCCCATGGGTGCCCAAATCTGTGGGTGCCCAGGACCCTGTCTGAAACAGTGGTGTTGTCACAGAGCCCACCAGTCCTGCGTCCTTAGATGCCTCTAGTCTCTCTGGACCACTTATAATATCTAAGGTAAATAGCTATTACGTGGTAATGTTTTATGAATAAAGATGAGGAAAACAACCTACATTTTCTGAACAGATGTTATTTTTTCTACTATTTTTGAGTAGAGTTTGGTTAAGTATAGATGGGTGTTTTTACTCTTTGTTCTTTGGAGGCCCGGCCATCCAGCTCCCAGATAAATATACGGAGACTTATCCTTACTTATGGATGCCCGGCCTTAGCTTGGTTTGTTTCTAACCAGCTTTTCTTAAATTATCCCATCTACCTTTTGCCTCTGGACTTTTATCTTTCTTTGTTCTCTGTACCTTTCTCTACTTCTTACTCTGTGGCTGGCTGTGTGGCTTTGTGACTAGGTGGCTGGCCCCTGTCATCCTCCTCTTCTTGTTCCTCACTCTTCTCTCTTCTATTTATTCTCTCTGCCTGAAAGCCCCGCCTATCCTTCTTCCTGCCTGACTATTGGCCAGTCAGCTCTTTATTAGACCAATCAGGTGTTTTAGGAAGACAAAGTAACACAGCTTCACAGCGTTAAATAAATGTCACATAAAAGAATGCAACACATCTTTGCATCGTTAAACAAATATTCCACAGCATAAACGTAGCACATCTTAAACTAATTTTTCATAGCAGGGAAGCCCCAAGGATGATAGTAAAATGAACATAGCCTAAGGTGCCCACATCTCTGGGGACAAGGGTTCAAGACGGCGTCTCAGAGAGGCTGGTCCAAGGACTGACTCTAAGGCTGGTCCCTGCTTCTGTGTCACCCCCTGATGCCCACCCAGCCTTGCCCAGCATATATATGAAGTATATGACCAGCCTACTGACCTCCTGCATCTCTTGAAAGGCCTGGTTGCCTTTTTCTTCATTTCCTATTTGTTGATAAAAGGAAAGGAGAACAATAAAGAAAAATAAGAAAAAAAAACCCATAACTGAGAGTGGTCAGATGCTGGCCCCAGGATGATCCCATGCTAGACCTGTTTGAGGATGCCAAGTCTTCCCAGAAGGTTCTGTAAGAGTACGTCCTTGAAGGAGTGCAGCCTTCCAGCATGGGCTCATTGTCTGAGTCTTGAGTACCAACAGTGTTCTGTGATAGTTGCTACAGAATGCTCTCAGTATGGTTGCTCCTAGCCATGTGGCAATGGAGCCCTTAAAAATCTCCAGTCAAAATGCAGATATGCTCTTATGCCAGGTTTACAAAAACTGCAGGAGAGCTCACTAATATACAGCCAAAAGCCATGAGATGACTCTACAGCCAACGATGGACACACATGCAATGACTTTACAAGATTATTATGGGCTTGAAATGTAACACGGATAGTAAAAACCTGGAGACAGATATTGGGGTTCAAACCAAAAAGCAAAAAAGCAAAAGAGCCAAGCCACTAGAGAAGTCTTTCCTCTACCAAGGCTGGGCGACTGCAGACCAAGCAGGTGCTCAGCAGCATCAATCCCAGTGATGCCCTTAGAGCATTTCCTGCACACGCCGAAGCAACCCCTGAGCACATCCCTTCAGGGGGATCTTCCATAGCAAGCCAGAAACCTAGACGGGTGCTGAGCTGCCTTTGGGTAACAGGAAGCAAAGCCACAAACGGAGAGAGAACATGCGGTAGTAACCAAATCGGGTGCTCTTCCTGCTTATTCCTTCTATACTAGTAGCTTGACGCTTTGATTCTCAGGGATGGCGGTCTCCTTTGTAAGTCTTTATGTCCTTGACCTGGTGGGTGCAGCATTCCTCACTGTGTCTTTGTCCCTCTAACTTCTCTCCAGCTCAAGAGGGCCAGCAGTGAGGACATGCTCAACAAGCCTGGCAGCGCTTCCGCGGGGACGGTGCGCCTGAAGAAGACCTCAACCTCCGGAGCCATCTCCGAGCTCACTGAGAGCCGCCTGAGAAGCAACACAGGTAGGAAGGACCTCGGTGGCATCCTGTCCTGTGGAAGCTCCTTTTCACTCATGATCCGTCCTCCCCCATCACCCTGGCCTGGAGCTCATCTGGGGGCATAGTCCTTACCTGTGGAGTTTGTGCACTGGGGAGACAGCATACAACCTGGGAGACTGATGGAGAACAGAAGGGCAATGGTTTGTCATGTCACCTCAGGAGTCCACTTGTCACCCGTGTGTGTGGAATCCTTTTAGCAAGGTGGTGTAGCTCTGGAGTCATCCCGGATGGTGGCAATGGATGGCAGTGGGTCATGGATAGGCCCAAGGTGACGAACAGCTGAGGTCTTCCTTGGTCATGATGATTGTTGATGGGTGTGATGCTCACCACTCCTCGACCCATTTCACAAAACATTACTTTCTGAAGATATATTTTAATTTGTTTGGCCTTCAAGGTGTTTAATGTGAGGCCCGAATGTGGCTTTGGATGTAAGGAGAAGGGCTTGTGTTTCTACATGATGACGTAGCTGTTAAAGACTGAATTTGTACTAAATACAGCAAATGAAAGTAACACATTTTCACCAAGCAAGCCTCGACTACTGATTCCAAAGTTAACAGATGCCATTAAAGTAATAATTAGTTAAAAATGAATGCCAACTTTATTCTCAGTATTAATACAAAAGTGAGATATTAAAGCGTTAGCAAATGCTGTCCAAGAAAATGTCAAAGGGCAGGTGCGGACAGCACAACCAAGTGGAGCTGCATTCTCTAAGAATGCGTCAATGAGGGGCTTGGCAGACGGCTCAGTGGTTAAGAGCTCTTACTGCTCTTCCAGAGGATCCAGGTTCAGTTCTCGGCGCCCACGTAGTGGCTCACAACTGTCTGTAATTCCAGCACTCTTTCCTGCCTCCATGGGGATTGCACACATATGGTGCATAGACCTACGTGCAGGCAAAATACTCATCAAATCAAATCTTAAAAAATGAGTGAATGAATGAACATTAGCATTATATGCCTGCTAGGTGTATCATAGGTCACAGAAAAACCACATGGTCATCTTGATGGATGTGGACAATGGAGCCGTCAGAATTTACCACCATCCTGATTTAGTAATAAACTCTTGATAGATGGTAAATGTGTGTGGAGAGGCTCTAACAAGGAAGTATGTTATCTTGTTGCATTTGGCAACACGTAACTGCGTTCCCAGTACTCAGAGACAGGAGTGTTGCCTGCGGTCCCAGTACTCAGAGACAGGAGTGTCACCTGAACCCACTAGATGAGCAAGGCAAAGACTTCATCTCAAAAAATAAGTCAATAGCCCTTGGAAGGCCGAGACAGGAGGATCAGGAGTTCAGGCCAGCCTAGGCTCAATGGCACCTTGTCTGAAAGGAAAAGATTGAATAGTCTCTGACCAGAGACTGGTTATATAATATTGGGAGAAATTATCTCATGTAAGAAAAGATGTGGAGCCAGGCCATGATGGTACTTAACTTTAAACTCAGCACTTGTGAGGTGGGTCTTTGTGAATGTGAGGTCAGCCTGGTGGTCTCAGAGTGAGGTCTAGGACGGCCGGGGCTACACACAGAGAAACCCTCTCTCAAACAATCAAACAAACAAACATTAAGAAAGGAGAAACACTTAGCAATAAACTCAGTTATGTAAGAGCCTATACATTAAAAGATACCTAACACCCATTTGGAGAACACGTCTATGTCCTTGTGAATAAATGGGAGGAAATGTGTGGGCTTGGGATAGGAAGATTAAATATAGCAAAGACTAAATTCAGTAGTGTCATATATTAAATCTATTAAGGGTGTCTAAATTATTCCATCAATTCATTTTCGTCCTAATTAACATATCAACGTGAAACTGGGAGCAGCCACGTGAGTAAAATGATACTGAGGAAGTCCCTCATCAGCCAACAAGCAGTGCTTGGCCCAGGGGAAAGGTGTTGGGTTGTCCTGATTGGAGGTTATACTTCCACCTAGTGGATAGCGGGTGGAGATGCTGCTAGCCAGAGACTGCAGGCAGCACAGGGAGCCACGGAGGAAGGCAGCATCCACATGCACATTTGGTACAGGGTAAAAGGTGGCTTATGCCAAGCTGGAGCCTGTGGGCGTGGTTTAGGGTCCAGCGCAAATTCAGCAGGTGAGAGACCCTGAGTTCAATCCCCAGTACTTCAAGAAGAAGTTAAAGTAAGTTAAGTCAAGTCTGGGTAACTCTGAAAAATAAAATTGGAACTCATTCTTACATAAATAAGTCACAGGGATGTGGGAGGGTAAAATGCCTGCTGTGCCAGCATGAAGACCTGAGTTCGTCCTCTGGTGCCCATGTGCAAAGCCAAATGAGGCAGCGCTTGCCTGTTCCCTCGGCCCTGGGCAAGTGGAGGCAGGTGGATCCCCAGGGCTTGCTGACAAGCCAGCTTGGTATGTGGAGGGTCCTAGGTTCAGTGAGAGAGACTGGCTCACAAAACGAGGTGATTGCAGAAGACATTCCGTGTTGACCCATGGTGGAGAGATTGCAGAAGGCATTCCGTGTTGACCCATGATGGAGAGATTGCAGAAGGCATTCCATGTTGACTCATGGTGGAGAGATTGCAGAAGACATTCCGTGTTGACCCATGGTGGAGAGATTGCAGAAGGCATTCCGTGTTGACCCATGGTGGAGAGATTGCAGAAGGCAGTCCACATTGACCCATAGTCTCCACATTAACACCCCTCACCTGTACACATGTTCACACATGTGCTCGGATGAACGCACGTGCACACATACACATACACACACACAAACATACATGACACGTACACACTCGTACGTACATAGATGTAACAAAAGTTTTAAACATAAAGAAAACACCAGAGCGTTAACCTGTGTAGGACAAAGGAGGTGCTTTTCATCATCAGAAAGCCAAGGGCCAGAGAAAGATGGCTCAGCAGTTAAGAATGCTCGCGCTCTCAGAGGACCTGGGCACAGTTCCCAGCACCCACATGGCAGCGCTCAGCCATATGTAACTCCACTTCCAAGGGATCTGACACATTCTTCTGTCCTCCGTGAGTACATAGCACACATATATATGAAGGTGAACACTTATACACATAAAATAAAAATAAATACCCCTTCAAGGATGCTGAAAGATTATTTACAATACATGCAAGTTTTCAAAGATTATCCAGACCCATAAGGAAGTCTGTAGAGCAATATGTAGCTCACATAAAAAGAAATAGATATCCAATAGTAAATTAATAGCTCTCCATCTACGGCTTCACTTGTAGCTAAGGAGCTATTACTCAGAACAATAATTCTATATATGACACCCCACATTAGAAAAACCAAAACAGGTAATCATCGCGATTGTTACTATTGGTAGATGGACAGACACACCAATTATGGACAGTTTGAACAAACCTGGCAACACTTGAAGCTTGTTGGTTTGGTTGGTTAGCCAGTGAGCCCCTACGATGCTCCTGTCTCTAGCCCCAGTGCTGGAATTACAGACATACATGGTCACACCTGGCTCCCTCCCTCCCTCCCTCCCTCCTTCTCTTCCTTCCCTTCCTTCCTTCCTTTCACTTAATTTCCTTATTTCTTTTCTTGAGACAGGGTTTCTCTGTGTAACCACCCTGGCTGTCCTGGAACTCACTCTGTAGACCAGGCTGGCCTCAAACTCACAGAGACCCGCCTGTCTCTGCTTCCCGAGGGCTGGGATTAAAAGTGTGTGCCACTGCCGTCCAGCACACCTGACTTTCTTACATGGGTTCTGAAGGCTGAAACAAATCCTCATGTTTGTGTGGCAAGCACTTTGCTGGTTTAGCTGTCTCTTTGTCCTCCTAATTTTTAAATGTTTTAAGTTTGTGTTGGTCTGTATTTGGTCTAGCACATTACTGTAACTGGTACTGGGGCTAGAACCCAGGGCATTTCATAGGCTAAGTGTTTGCTCTAGCCTGACCTACACCCCAGCCCGTCTGCTGTTTATGTTCAGAGTGTACGTGTTTGCACCTGTGTGTGTGCCTGTGTGCGAGCATGCATGTGAAGGGCATGGTCTTACATGCTGGCAAGACAATATAATATAATTCCCTGCAAGTTCGTATGTGAAGGAAAGCATCCAACTCTAGGAGGTCAGGAAATGCTGTCAGTGTATAGATAATATATAATTTATATAGAGACTCATGGGAAGGAGTCTTAATGCCTGCAGACTTAGTGTCTATACTTTTGACTTGTTTTCTCTGATACATAGATGGTAGTATTGTTTTTATTTTAAGGGTATTATTAGTCTTTCTCCTGATGAAATTTTTCCATTTTTAAACTGTCATATGTGTGTATGTGTATATACATATTTATGGGACACTGTAATGATTAATGTTCGTGGTCAAACCTGACTGGGTTGGAATAATCTGGGAGATTTCTAGATGGTGTGGAGTGTTGGGCTAAGTGAAATGGGAGACAGGAGAAAGTGGGCTCAACTCCAGCTTCCATCCTCTGCTTCCTGAGTGCCCTGTGTCCACCTCGTTCTCTGTCACAGTGTCTTCCTGCTGTGATGGACTGTCCCCTCAAACCATGAGCCAAAAAAGGTCCTCCCTTAAGTTACTTCTTGTCAAGCCTCTTGTCCCAGGGACAGGGAAAGCCACTAATACAGATGCAGAGGCAATTCACGTAGATCAGATCTGGCCATTGGCCTGGTACCTGCACTGCTATCATTTCTTTATTTAGATTTGCATGCACTTTATTCTAAACCTACAATTATTCAGTATCCATCTCAAGCCCCCAGCACTCACATTTAACACTTGACAACTGACACATGGCAGGTAGGATGGGAGCGGCTTAACCTGGTAAGTATGGGCTACCCAGAAGCCCTCCAGAAGGCTTTCAAAGGCTGTGTCTAGTTCCCCTCCTTCCCCAAGAACAAACAAGGCAGGATCTATTAGGTCAAGTGTGCCACCTGCTGCCCTGCCTCTCTCCCCTTGGTCCCTGGCCTCCCAGGCCTGCTGGCACTTCTTCCTCAGACAGACTTGGGGCTCTGACTGTTTC